AAACACTGTAAATTTGTTGCTTTGTGTGTATACGTTTAGGTATATTTTATAGAAGCCAGGAGAGGGGGCTAGTAATAAAGCTCTGGGTGTATTGACAAATGCTAAGTGTGACAGAGAAGCAAGCACTCATGACTGAAAACTGTTCTTCTCTTCCTTCATTCTACTATTGTTACATGTCATTGGGTGTATCTACATGTCACCCTATGGCAGAGGTGGGCAATTATTTCGGGCGGAGGGCTACTTACCAAGTTGTGGCAAGCCATTGAGGGCGGCAAGGGTAGCCCCGCCCCTTGACAGGTGCCCTGCCCCCTAGTTGCCATCTTGGGACCAGAAGTCCCACCCCTAGCCCCTGATTTTTGCCACCGGAAGTCCCTCCGCTTACCCCCCCTGCCCCCCAGAAGTACTCATTGCAGCAACCATTTGCCATCTCAGAACCAGAAAAATACCAAATTTATATTCTAAAAATCAAACATTTACTACAACATAAATTAATTAGATTTCAAAGAATATTTTTGTCCTGATTTATATGTGTTTGTATAGTATACATCAAGGTGATCGCACAATAGCTTAAAATGAAGTCTTACTCTTGTATATTGTAGGGAGGTGTGGATGGGTGGCCATAGGTTTGTGGGTATGTGGGTATGTGGAGTGTAGGGGAGGGTGTGGGTGTGTATGTAGGGTTTGTGGGGGCTGTGTGGGGGTGTATGTGGAGTGGGAGAACATGTGAATGTGTGTGTAGATATGTGGTGTGGGTGGGTATGGGGTTTGTGGGGGGCTGTGAGTATTTAGGGAAGGTGGCTGGGGAGGATTGTGGCATGTGTGGAGGGGGAGGATTTGCCCACAGCCCCCCATGGCTCCTTTAAGCCTCGGCTCAATGCTTTTGGTGTTCCTGGACCCAGGGCACTGTCACAGCCCAGTGCTCCCACTCGCAGCCACTTCTCCCCATTTGCCACCACTGCCCTTCTGCCACTTCCCTGTCCCCCTGTCTCTCTCTACCCCCCGCCCCCAGCTTGCTGGTCCGGCACCACATCCCTTCTGCACGGCTGAGACCGCAGGACACAGAAGGAGCTGGACAGATGTGGCTGGGCCCACATGGGGCTACCCGAGAATCACAGGGGCCAGGCGGGCTCCTGGCTGTGTCCTGTGGCCTGGTGCTGCAGCCAGGAACCACGTGGTGCCAAAAGCACCAGCAGGGGGCTGGAGGGGAGTGGTGGCAGTGGCAGGAAAATGGCTGTGGCAGGCAGGGGGGAGTAGCAGCGAGTGGGCGCGTGAAGCATAGCAACAGCTGCACAGGAGTACGGGGCCTGCAGTGGGGTGTGGAAGTGCAGGGAAGAGGAAGGGGCCAGCAGGGCTCTATGGAACCAGGCTGGGCTGTACCAGCAGGGAGAGGGGGAGCTGGCATGGCTCCAGAGCCCTGCCAGCCTGGCCCTGTGCTCCTGCCATCCCGCTCTGGGCACCTGCTGGCCCTGGCACACTGGAGCAGGCCCTGTGCTCCCGTGCAGCTGTCACTGAGCTACATACACCTACTTGCTGCCCCTTCCCCCACTGCCTGCTGCCACTTTCAGCGCTTCCCTGCCTATGGCTGGTGCCGCTCCTCTCCACCCTGCTGCCAGCTGCTCTGGCACCATGTGGCTCCTGGCTGCAGCACCAGGACTGCAGCAGCCAGCTCAGCTCAACCCTGAGGCAATTGCCCACAGTCCTCTCCTGCCTCCCCCCTCCATCTGAATTTCCCTCCAGTGCAGGGAGGCAGGAACAGCCCCAGGGGCCCAGGCCAGAACTCTGTGCTCTGCATGGGGCTTCTGGCTGGGGTGGGAGAGGCAGGACCACTGGGCCTTGCTTCTGCAGCCACTTGATCCTGCTGGCAACTTCCCCTGGGTCCTGCTGGCTCCTGTCAACTGTGGCAGGCAGCTAGGGGCAGACACATTAATTTTCTAAATTTTTGAGAGGCCCTGTAGGCTGGATAGATTGGCCTGGCAAGCTGGATCTGGCCTGCAAGCCATATTTTGCCCACCCCTGCCCTAGGGCAACGTAATGATGCACTACATCACTGTATGGTGCATTATGGCGACATAGTGATTATACAGGTCTATACATGATCACCAGCTACATTGCTGTAGTGGCATACTCCCCCAGTATAGTGGACAGCTACAGCGACATAGCATCGAAATCTAACCATGCACTGCACACACAGCCCAGTAGCCATCCATAGGAAGCACTAAAGCATGGTACCATAGTAACATCGCTGTACAGAAACATGTAGACACACCCACTGTTGATTAATTAATTGCTGAAGACAGTCTGATGGTAAACAGTTTGTGATTGGATTTCCCTTGTAGCTGTGGCTTTTTCATGGTTTGTTTTATTTCTGTACCACCTTCTTCTCATCCAAAAACCATGTATGTTCTAGCCAAAGGTGGTCAAGCCTCATTCTCCTCCCATTCATTGTGGTGTAACTCTTTTGACATCACATGTACTTGACAGAAGCATGGGGCCTGTTAAACACAATATAAAATCATATATAATTTGTCCTTTTTGTCTAGGAACCCATATTATTCAGGAGCAGAAAAGGGACGAAGGGACCAGTTTGAGAGACCTTGATTTAGTTCCTTGATTTATCACAGACTTTCTCTGTGACCTTAAGTTACTCACCTTGTCTGTTGGTCAGTCACCCCATGTATCATGGCAAGTACTGTAAGTACGCTAAGAATATTAAAGATTGTGTCTTGCTCAGGTACCTCAGTGGGGATATGGAAGAACCATAGAGACATGTGCACAGTGTTGCTGACTTATGCCCTCAGAAAACAGCAGACCGGGGGTCTTCTGAAGAGACAAGTAACAGAATGATATGCTATCACACGTTTTCTTATATAAGAATTGATGATGCATGCACAGTCAGAGGAGATGATGCTGGCTTGATTAGTGTCTGTTGACATAATAACAAATCTAATTTTTTTTAGAACTTGCAGTTATAAGCAAGCTTGACCCCCCAAAGCCTGGATCCCAACCCACTCTGTCTCAGGGAATGTTCTACTCTGGAGCACAACTCTAGCAATAGTTAGTGCTAGGGGATCAGTAAAGGCATTCAGTCGGTATAAACCCCACCCAGCAGTTTCTCTATGTAGACAGCTGCAGGAACCGGCCTCTGCCTCCACTCCTGGGAATCTGAATGTCTCATGCAAAACTCCAAGCACCACGTGGCAGGAGAGGCCCAGTTTGGCTCCAGTCTTGCTGATAACATTCCAAGCAGGTGGAGTCCTTCTCTCTTGTTCTCTATGGCTCTACCGTGCGATTTTGGATCCTTAGTGCAGTTTTTGGATGCATTGCTTTACTTTCTGCTGTGGGTCCAAACTTGGGTACTAATGCCAGATTTGTGGAATCCCAACTGAATACAAATTAAGATATCATTAATCTTTCCTATGCCATAACAAGAGAAGCTCCTCGCTCTTCTTCCCATATAGCCCCCTCCCATTGCATCCCCCTTCTTATCCTCTAGGCCCTTTCATTCTCAGGCCTATATTTTCCCAATGACATCTGTCCTTCCATCATTTAGTTTTTATTTTTCTTTCCCTCCTTCCTCCTCCTCTGTCACACTCTCACCCTCTTTATCGGAGTCTTTTTCTTTCCCTGTTATTCTGACTCCTGTTCATTTATCCTGGACTTCACATTTTTTTCTTTCTTTTCTTCTCTCCCGGTTTCCCCACCTCCCCAACCACAAACAGGTAAAGAGAGCAACTTGGGAGAAGCCGACTTACAGCCAAGCTCTGATCCTTCGGGAATGGACAGCAGCTACCTCAGTGTGAAGGAGGCTGGAGTAAAGGTTCCCCAGGACAGGGCCAGCACTGACCTCCCCAGCCCCATGGACAAGACCGACTCAGAGAGCAACAAAGGCAAGAAGCGGCGGAACCGCACCACTTTCACCAGCTACCAGCTGGAGGAACTGGAGAAAGTTTTCCAGAAGACCCACTACCCAGATGTCTATGCCAGGGAGCAGCTAGCTATGAGGACAGACCTCACTGAGGCCCGAGTACAGGTAATGAGAAAAGTTCTGGGGTTGGACTGGGGTAAAACTTCTACATGTGAAACTTTGAGGCTTCCAGGTAGCAAGTTAATGGGTGCATCTACACAAGATGCTAAATGCACAGTAGACTAATTCTATTATGCATTAGCATGGCAGGCAAAAACTGCTAATGTGCTAATGCTCAGTAGAATTAATCTGCTGCACGTTAACGTCACAAAAAAGCACGTGTTGGCGCTACTGTGAAGTAGCACTGATTACAGGTACTAAACTTTAATGTGCCATAATTATGGCGCATTAATGAACGTGTAGATGTGCCCAATCAGTCTTAAAAATTCACTGTTTCTAGGTAACGTTTTATTGGAAGTTACCTAGAACCTTGTCCCTAATTCCCTTGAAACTTGAAGCCTGCAGGCCTGTACCCAGAATCCATGCTACTGATTGATGCTTTTCTTTCATGCTATACAGCAAACCAAGGTACAGGGGAGCCTTATATGTGCTCAACACTAATGCAGACTCCTTTATAGCATCCATATTTCCAAGGTTCATGGAGGTGTACTCTCTTGCTTGAGTTAATCGAGCAATAAGGCAGCTGATACTCTTCAGTGATGGTTACTCTGAACAAGACTCTCATGTAAATATCTTGCTCCAAGAGAATCAGCCTCAGTGGCGCCAAACTTTCTCACGATACATCTCATTTCTGGCAAGCTGGGGAAAGGGGGGTGGCTGAGGTCACCATGACCTCCAGTGCAATTGAGCCAAAATGCAGTGACACGATGCAAACGGGTGTTGCTGCCTGGTTGGCCAAACAGGTTCAGAGACAACGCTTGAAACCTATTGTTTTGGAGCAAGAAGGTGTGGCTCCCACTTCGATAAGAACAAGACAGTCCAGCAACACCCTTGCAGCCATACCACCCTGGGCTGCCAAGGTCTCAGAGTAGCAAACTGAGGCCTCGTCTGAGCCTGGGTGTATAAGAATCTAGGTGCTATAGGAAGGAGTTGATGACTCTGCAAGCTCTCTTACCCCTTCCCACATCCCCCCCTCAAGCACCATTTTGTTTCCAGTAGGGCCATGAGGAAGCCATGAGTACTGGAGTCATGTGACAGGAAAGACGAGCAAGGAGAGACCTGACTCTATGGCCTGACTCTATACACTATGAGGAGGCTACTTATTTGAAACAGGGGAGCTGTGGGTTCCAGTCCCTGCTGCCAGGGATATCTCTGGCTTTAACCTTGACTAGGAGGGTACAGGATCAGGCTCCATTTTGCTTGCTCCCTAATCTGTTTATGCATTTTACATTAGACAGACATTGGCAAAAAAATAGCAGTGTCTTTGGCAGCAGGGGCTAGAACCCAGGCCTGCTGTCTTCCCCAGTCACACACAACCATGCTGGGCTGCAAAGCCAGTCTCCCTTTTACTTGATCTTTTTCTGGCCTTGTGAGTCTTGCACTCCTGGTTGTCCAATGGCCCAGCTTCAACAGGAGAGCTAGGATGAAGAGGAGCTAAAACCCAAGTCCCTGACTTCCTAGGCAAGGGCAATTACCACCAGGCAAAATGTCATCACCACCATGATCTGTGACCAAGAGCAACTGGGGTGCTAGGCTTTATTCTGAACTCAACACTGCTGTCAGTTAGGCATCCCAGTACAGGTAGGTACTGCCCCTTGAGCAAACAGGATCCTGACATGACTGGAATATCTCCTTTGTGGCCCTGAATCAGACCCACAAGCTCCAGTGAGCAGTGGGAATTCAGATAGATATACCCTACCATTTCCTATCGTCTGGCTGTAGGTGGCAAAGCCATCCAGCTCACACTTGGGAGGTGCTTGGGTCTCTACATTCACTGTATAAGAAGCCTCACCACCTAACTCTGCCAATTAAGTCACCCTACTGCAGCTAGGTGCTTACATTTTAGGCACTGGAGTGTCCCAGTGGAGGCACATACAAGGTCAGTTTGGATCTGACCCCTGAGTTCCCTCTGTAATGCATGGGGAGTACTCAGCACCTCAAACTGGGATTCACAGCCACCAGTGCACTGAGTGAGGATACCTACCCCAGCCAACACAGTGTACTTGGGATAGACTGTATTTGGGGCACTCTTCAGAGCATAGGGGCCTCTCTGCAGCCATGAGTAAGGCACCTATGTGATTCACAGCTCACAAACCTATCCGTGGAGTCTCAGAACAGCAAAGACTCCCTATGCCTGAAGAAGGGTGATTGCTCCTGAAAGCTTGCAAAGAACTTTTCCCCAACTATTCTGTTGGTCTAATACCCAAAGAATCTTGCCTGCCTGCCTATATCCTGGACTTAGGCATGTTTTTTAATATAACTGGCAGGTTCACTTTTGCTTTGTCTAATGATGGTGGCAGAGGTGGTGCAGCCTCTCACCTTTTATAGATCCACTTAGTGGTCAGAGCATTTGTCCAGGAAGTGAAAAATCTGAGTCTTAAGCCCTCCTCAGCCTGAATTTTTTGCTCCCACTTTCCAGAAAAGAGTCCGAACTACCACAGTTCAGGTGGAATGAGATGGGGAAACTCCCTTCCTCCCTGCTGAAAGCTGTGCGGCTGTACAGACAAGAGGGCATGATTCCTGGGGTCAGAAAGGAGTCCCTGAGACAGCATGAGCTTGTAGCTCATTGAGGAGGGTACTCACCTGGGAAGAGAGAAGAGTATGCCCGCCTTCCAGAAAGGTCCATGGTAAATGATTAATGCATAAAGAAGCCTGGGAGCAGGGGCCAGAAAGTAGGTCTGTGTTTCCTGGAGGAGTGTCCACATCACAGGGGGCCATCGACTGCTGTTCCTTCTTGACTGAACTCTCTTTCCAGCCCTGTAGATCTTGCATTCTTGGGTACACAATGACACAGCTTCACCAGCAAGAGGTGGAGCATGCCCTCCCTAACCTTTGACTAATAGGTAGTAAGGCTCCCTCTAGGAAGGTGTGGATTTTACCCATTTCAAAAGGCCTAGAACTCAGGTTTCCCACTTCCTGGGAAAGAGCTCTAACCACTAGGCACAAGCTTCTCCGGCCTCGTATTTGAATGTGGCTGCCGTGCTTTGTGCTAAACTCCCTGCTGTCCGTGTGTGCTGGGTATGCTCTGAGGAAGTCTGCTGGACCAGGCCCTTCAGAAGAGCTCAGCACAGAGACACCTACTTTGTGAGCTTTAAATGGGCTTGGCATATCGATAGTTCTAGGGGCAGCAGTTCTGGGCATGAACAGAGACATGGTGCCTAGGGAACTTTACTGGCACAAATGTAGGCACGTATGGCTTCCCAGACACCTGTGTGGTTAGGTAACTGTTTCAAGAAGAGCACTTTCAGACTTGAATGCCTAAATCTAACTTCCACTTTACATGTTTAATTGCTATGAGCCTTAGTTAATAATGACGGCTGTTGTCTGCAAATGCAAATGCCGGTTGTGTCGCCATGGAATGATCACCTTCTTTACCTTACACTCAGATTCCTGGTCATTGCTCCCCTGGTGCTTTTCCACATGAGAACCATTCCTCAGAATGACCGAGGCAGCTTCTGGAAGCGAAAGCCTCAAAAACTGCCCTGAGCATGGGTGGAGGGTATTAGTTCATTTGATATCACCAGAGTCCTTTATCTAAGGAAAGCCATGCTACCAGAGGCAATGAAAACCAGGTGTTAGGCATGGGCAGGACATACAAATCAAAACATTTCAAACAAAGATTTGTTGTAAGAAGCAAATTATCTCAGTCCTCTCCATGATACTTTTTCACGTGCCAAATGGCTGTCTAGCAACTGGACATATAGGTCCAGAGCTTGAACTGATATGTAAGTCCATAGTTCTCTCAACCTTGGCATAGCCATTCACCAGCCAGGGTGCTGGTAAGCTGGGTGTGACTGTGAATCTGGTATATTATCAAAACTGAGAAGCCAGTGGAACCTTATTGTCACTAAGCTGCTTGAATAGGTGAACCAAAAAACCGGGCATTTTCTCTTAGCTGAATGGGGAAATAGATGAACTAAGTTGGTGTGAGCTGTGTGTCACCTCCCAATAGTTGAACCAGTAAAAGCTGGTCTTGACCTGGAATTGTCTTCTCTCCTGCCAAACTGGTCTCCCTGAAGAACTGAAATAGTTCCCAAAGCAGTGGGCAAAGCAGAAACGAAGCTCAGGCAGACAAGCGACTGCTATGGATCTTTCTAAATCTCTCCCAAGTTCACAATTCACTAGTAAAATACCTGATCGGGAGTCAGGCACCTAGAGAAGAACTTACCACATCAGTAGGCTTGCCACAATGGGCTCCATCTGCAGAACTGTGCAGTGGACTGTCTGTGGAAATCATTCCCCAGTTGGGCTCCTTTCCAGCTGCTGAAGATACCACTTTTCTGCCAGCTTTGGCTGCTAATCTCCAGAGTGGTGTCTAAAGACCGTAAGGCTGAGTTTGCCCTGAGAGGAGGTGTGCAGAATTGCCTGTCTACCCTCCAACACCTTTACTTAAAGCAGTGGGGACCACCTTTTTTAGCAGGTGTGCAACAAATTAACCCCACACCTTCCCCAAACACCACTCTGATCCTGTTCCTGTTCCCAATTTGCTGCTTTGCTGCCTGCTCCCTGCCTTATGCTCCCTGTCCATTCTGTCATTCTGCTTTCTGTTTCATGCCTGATTTGCCCCTGTGCTGCCTGCCTCCTCCCTGATCCGCTGTATGCGATGCACAGAGGCTGCCTGTACCACAAGCTGGCCACCACTGATTTAAATAGTCCCTTAGCTGAGATATTGCATGTCCCCAATTTCAGTGTCCACAGAAGTCAGCAATCCCAATGTGCTGCAATCTCTTCCATTAACCCTTATAAAAGCAAGCACTGAACAAACACACTCTTCTGTCCCTACCTGAAAACACAACCGGAAAAGAATGCAACCTTCTCTTGGAGCAACCCAGACCTGTGGATGGCCAGGTCCCACACAAAAATGTAGATTTTCCTTTTTTCACTTCAGTTATTCTGGGCCCTGGAGACACTAACCGCGCTGTAGCCTAATAACACTGCACAGTAGC